GACAAAAACCTATATCTTGTTGATAAAATTTATAGTTACAAGAACAGAGTAAGAATTATACTTTGTATAAGCTATAAAAATAAATTTACAGTAGTTAAGCCTATACATTTTATTCACTTAAAAATACATAGCTTTTATAAGCTTAGCTCTATTCTAAGAGCTTTAAAAAAAAAGTAATTTACCAACCGTATTAATCATAGAATTATCATATTATAAAATATGCTAGGAGTTAGATGGGAATATTATCCCTTTTTATAGCTGAGAGCAGAGAAACACGAAGAAATTAAGTAATATCCCAAGAGACACAGCAGGCAATGGCAAAGGCAGGTTTGGAACCTGTCAATCTAGTCCTAGAGTTTGTTCTATTACTGCTCCCTTTCTAGTAAAATTTTATTATTGATTAGGAAATTACAGAAGATTCCATTCTTCCTATTGGAATTTATATCCACAAATTTTGACATAAGCAAATTGAGCTTATTAGAAAGAAAAGCCACAAAAGAAAACTCAATGGCAAAATTAAAATCAGTACAATATGATATAAACAAAACAACTATGAACTAATAATTTTGGGGAATTTGCACAAAAAACATTTGATTGTAGTGAAAATAATTTCTGAAAAATAAAATGAAACAATTTAAATGACACAAGGATACTGTACAAAATAATTATCAAAGAATGAAGTGGGTTTTATGGAGATTTGCTCTTTTATACCAGCTGAGATGAGCTAAATAAAGCAATGGTAACAGATGACAACCAATTTCAATCACTTCAATGGTGTGAAGCTGGAAAGTTTATTTTTCATTCATCTACATTTTCACCATATTTTGGCAAGGGTTTCTGCACCCATTGTCCTCTCTTGGGACTTTCATCATCTAGTGTGTCACTGGTTGAGGTGACCAGCATCACCTCTCGTATTTCATAGGCCACAGCAAGTCACATGGCCACACCCACGTTCAAGCAGGTGGTGCGGTGCCATCCTCTTTGTGCTCAGAAATAGAGAGGAGCCACCTATTAGTGAGCTAGTTTTCAGTCAATGTTTATCAGCATGTGGCTCCCAGATAAACACACAAAATCAATGCTCAGATTACAAGGAAGATGGAGCAGCAGGAAACGTCTGTAGGTTAGGCAACCAACATTTTCTGCCACCACAAATGATGGGAAAACAATAAACATGATAATAACAGCCAGCATTCATTAGAACTCACAAAATGCCAGGCACTGCACTTTGTATGCATTTCTCATTTAATCTCACAAGGTAAGTGTCTATTTTACAGAAAAGAAAACTGACGAACAGAGAAGTAGAATACCTGTCTGGGCCTTAGAGCTAGTACCTACTGGAGCTAGGACAAGAACCTAGACAATCTGATAAATACCCCTCTTAGAACTGCTCCCCTAGTCTGCTGCCCCTACTGTGCTTTGCTCCAGAATTGCACATGATTCAGAGTTTAGAGCACTTTATCTCTGGATATTGCAGGTTTTGCAACAGTATTCATCAGTGGATCTTGAGTGCAAAATAGAATTTGACCCTGGTGGTTTAGCTATAACAGGAAAAGACAATTGCCACAAAACCTCTCATAAAGCCTGTTGCCAAGATCGTTGAGAACAGCATGTGCTTTTCCAGATTACAGCGATAAGAAGGGCCATGTTGCTGAGAGCTGCAAGTCCTAACAGGGCTGCATGTCTCCAGGAGAGGGATATTTCCGCTGGCCTCCACAAAAGCCTGTGCACTGGCTTCTTGGGAAGGAGCTGGCTGAGACTACTGGGAAACCACATTGAAGAGATTCCCGCTGTTGGAAGCGCTGTCAACAGGAAATGGTCAATAGATTGCCCTAAATCCACTGAGCTTGCAGAAGGGTACTGCTGCAATAGTCTGGACATGCCAGGCTGTCCATTCCCTTGAAGACTAAAAGACTCCGTCTCTTCTAGAGGCAGCAGTAATTGAAGAAAAAAGGATTCTCTGCCTAAATAGGTTGTATTCAAATTACTCACCCACACATGGGAATTTACACCAATCATACCAAAAAAAGAAAAAAAGTAACTATTACAGTGTCTGGTGTCAGCTGAGCTGTAAATCTCTTCAACAGGTGCTTACTGTCATGGGCTGGTAGGCACTGATCAAATGGCGTCTAGCCATCATCCCTACCAACACACACTCCATGTCTTCCTAGTTTGGCCCCACGTTCCTTCAAGCCACTGGATCTCTTTCAATACTCTGCCCCTCCACTGGATCCTTTCTCTCATCTCTGGGGTACTCAGGACTCCGTGAGGAGGTCCTCAGAGCTATTAGCTCAGGCTACTCATCACGCCACGGCTGGTCTGCTATGCCAGCCCCACGATAACCAGGGAGCTTCTGACACGCTTCCAGTCTCCCCTGGCTACACTTCGGTACCCTGGGATATCATGCACCAATTCCCTTCTGTTTGGGAGGTGGGAGTGAGGGGACACAGAGCAGGATTTGGGTCTCTCATTAACTCTTACCTCTTCATACATTCTGTTGATTTTGGCATAATCTCTACGCCTCGTTATCCTCAGGACTTTGGACTCGGATATCAAAGCCAAGCTTTTGAATTTTAAAGCACCTTATCTGTCTCAAGCACTTGGCTTTCAAGACTTTTGTTTCTGCTATGAGTTTCAAAATCCATCTATCAATCCAACTGAAGTCCCCTTTCTAATCTATATTTGCCCTCCCTCTGCAGGCAGTGGATAAAGAAAATTACATTGGGCAGAAGGGTAACGGGATCCAAGCTGCCCAGTGGAGGAGCAGGAAAGTGGGGTCAAGAACTCTGACTAATGTATTTCAAAATACTGTGTGTTGGATATGCCTTCTGGAATGCTGGTAGTTTCCTGCTATTTTGAGGTTACTCTAACAATTGTTATAGCTACATTTACGTAGCATTTACTATGTGCCAGCCCCTTAAATGTCTTTATCCTCTAATCCTCACAAAACACTGAGTTGAAGCTTTTATCTCCTCTCACAGATAAGGAAAGGGAATCTTGGATACATTTATTAACCTACCTAAGTTCATCCAGGTAGTAGATGGTGGAGTCAGGCACTATGTTAGTACCGGGGTGTACAAAGACTAATCATACAGAGATGAATAATACAAAGATGAATCACCAACCGGTTTAGACATCAGACACTCAAATGGATCCTGATACTGCATGTCGCTAGGACTGTTCTTGAGATTCACATACAAAGCAGAGGCATTTGACTAAGGATTACGGAAGACTTACTAAAGAGATTAACACCTGAGTTGATTCAAGAAGGATAAGCAGGAAAGTTACACAAGTGAAAGGAACAGGAAAGGAGGAAAAGAAACAGCATTTAGGTCCCAAGAAAGAACATCAACAAAAGCACAGAGGCAAGCTGAAACAGAATGGTTTGCTCCCTGTTTAGGACTATTTCTCCAGTTATCTAGTGCTGTGTAACAAGACACTTGAAAACTTAGTGTTTGAAACAGTTATTTGCAGTTATTTTGCTTATGAACCTGCAATTTGGACAGGGCTTTGTTGGGAACCCTCATCTCTGCTCTGCCCGGCATCATCTGGGAGAGCTCAAACGTGGGGCTAGAATCAACTGAAGGCTCACTCACATGTGAGTTGATAATGGCAGTAGGCTGAGACCTTAGTTGGGTCTGTGGGTTCATAAACCTACTCTTGGCTTGTTCCTGTGGCTTGAGCTTCCTCACAACATGGTAGCTGGGCTGCAAGGGGGAGCATCCTGAGAGAGAGTAAACCAGGTGGAAGCCATGTCACATTTTTTATCTAGCCTTGTAAACCACGCAGTGTCACTTCCCCCACATTCTCTTTGTCAAGACAGCCACAAAATGCCACCCAATTTCAAAGAGAGGAGCAAAGCCCTCAACCCTTGAGGAGGGGAATGGCAAGGTTTTGGAAGAGCATGTGGATTTGGAAATATGGGTGTGACCCTTTTTTTTTTTTTATTGAGATTATGATAGATTACAGCCTTGTGAGATTTCAGTTGTACATCATTGTTAGTCTTGTTGTGGGTACACCACTTCCCCCTTTGTGTCCTCCGCCCATCCCCCCTTTTCCCTAGTAACCACCGATCAGTTCTCCTTGTCTATATGTTATCTTCCACCTATGAGTGGAGTCATATAGAGTTCATCTTTCTCTGTCTGGCTTATTTCGCTTAACATAATACCCTCAAGGTCCATCCATGTTGCTGCGAATGGACCAATTTTGTCCTTTTGTATGGCTGAGTAGTATTCCATTGTGTATATATACCATATCTTCTTTATCCAATCATCAGTTTCTGGGCATTTAGGTTGGTTCCACATCTTGGCTATTGTAAATAATGCTGTGATGAACATAGGGGTGCAAAGGACTCTTGGGATTTCTGATTTCAGGTTCTTAGGATAGATACCCAGTAGTGGGATAGCTGGGTCATAAGGTATTTCTATTTTTAACTTTTTGAGAAATCTCCATACTGTTTTCCATAGTGGCTGCACCAGTTTGCCTTTCCACCAACAGTGTATGAGGGTTCCTTTTTCTCCACAACCTCTCCAACATTTGTCACTCTTGGTTTTGGATGTTTTTGCCAATCTAACAGGTGTAAGGTGATATCTTAGTGTAGTTTTGATTTGCATTTCCCTGATGATTAGTGATGATGAACATCTTTTCATGTGTCTATTGGCCATACTTATATCTTCTTTGGAGAAATGTCTGTTCATGTCCTCTGCCCATTTTTTGATCGGTTGTTTGTTTTTTTGTTGTTAAGCTGTGTGAGTTCTTTGTATATTATGGAGATTAACCCAGGTGTGACCCTTTTTTAAATATACAATCTGACACCACTCCAAACTGGAAAGAACAATATAAAATACAAATAGCCATCTCCTATAACAATCCTGTCTTTCCTGATCTAATCACACTATTAGCCACATGAGATCATTAACTGACTCACTGCTTACTAGGAGGGGTTACCAGCACAAAGCCAAGAAAAGAACTGAAGTCATTCACAAGGCATCAACAAGACTTACCCACACAGTAGGCTGGCCACAGGGAAATTCGGTCATCACTGCACAAAATGCTTGTTGTGTTCTCTTGGCCACACCGCAAACAACACATTCATGAACCGTCTGCAACAAAGACTGAGCTAAAAATTGTGTCCAAAGGCTTGAATTTCATTCTTGCAACTGAAAGACCATTTCAAGCCATTTGTTCCAGACTGCCATGATGGCTTTATTTCTCTAGGCAATAATCTATATGCCTTGACCAAGAAGCCCTAATGACTGTGCAGAGTGATTTCAGGAAGGGTCTTATGGTTTGTAGAAATGTTCTCAGAATGGCTTGAATGCTTTTGGCTTCATCTCACAAACTGGGTGCAGCAATCATAGCTCCATGCCATTTATGTGTAACAGTGCAACTGGAAGACCCTGTTGTTTCCATATCCTACAAGGGCCCAGAGTGCAAGTGGCTCAGTATTGCACGTGAACAGTTCCTGTTCTCCGGCACCTCGGAATGAAGCTCTAATCAGAGCGCTCCTATCTTAAAGAAGTTAACTCTGAATTTTCAGCTTCTTAACACCTCACCCCACCACACCCAGCCACCCACGGGATCATCAGAAACACAGAGTAGAGAAGCAATGACGTTTACAATCTCCCATAGTGATGAGAGAAGAAATAACCGTGAGCAAACGCAGGCATGGGCCCTGTTACCAAGGAATTTACATTTTAGTCGGAGGAACAGAAACTAATCAAATAGTCACACACATATGAGATATAATTGAGAAAGAAAATGCTATGACAGAAAAGCACCTAGGAGAGCATATTATAAGGAACCTGACTACGCGTGGGGAAGGCTTCTCTGAGGCCCTGACGGTGGGGCGGGGGCTGAAGACCGAGTCTCAGCTAACAGGCGGCGCAGTCCGGGCTGAGAAGGGGAAGGGGACGGAGGGAGTCCAGGCAGAGAGAACAAAATGAGCAGGGCCTCACAGCACGGAGCAGGGTGAGCTCAAGGAGTGAGATGTTTGCAAGTGTGGGACTGGGTGACACTGGGGGACATCTGTCCTAAGGACGAGGAGAAGCCATGAACCAGCTGGGAGCCTCTAGATCCTGAAGTTCAGTCCAGTCAGGCTCACAGAATTTCCGCCCAGGGAAACGGAGTGAGAGCCGCGCCTTCGTTTTCCTGTCGACCCTGCTCGCCTTCTGCCAGAGCCTGGCAGTCGGACACCAGCGCGGTTAGCGACGCACGTTCCCCTCACCTGCACCTCCTCTCCGGCTCCTTCCATCCCCCGCACCGCGGTGGAGGAGTCCGCCTCGCCCAGGCCCGGGGCCGCGGCGGCGGTGGCGGGAAAGCGGCCGCCGGAAGCGAGCGGCCGCCGGCAGGAGGACCCGGATCTTGACGCCCACGCGGCTGAGGAGCCAGGCTCCCGTGGTCACCACAAGGCCCCGGCCGTGGACCTCCGGCACCGGCAGGTCGTCTTCCTCTTCGGTTTCTGCGTCATCTTGGTCCTTGGCAGCAAGCACCTTTGTGGCTTCTCTGCCTGACGACAGATGCTGGCGTGGGCTGGCCGGAAGCTGACAGGCTGGAGAAACGCCGAGAGGCCGGTGGCCTCGCGACCGTGGACTCCAGCTGCTTCGACCCGGCGACATCAGCGGCTGGACAGGGATGCGGACTGCCCCGTGCCAAGTGGGACCCAGGAGGAGCCCCCTTCGCCACCCCTGGGCGCCATCCTGCGCTCTCCTCAGGGCACCTCGTTGAAGGCCTAGAAGTCTGAAAGGTCTTTTTTCTTCAGCCTTTCAGAACTTTATTAGGTGGCGTTTGGGCAAAAGAGAAAACCCCTGAAACAGCCGCTCAGCTGTTCCGACGACTGGAAGAGAGAAGCAGCCTTTGTTGGCTGACGTTCTCTCACTGAGGTGAAAGCATGAGCTTTGACTTGTTTTTAAGGGAAACAAACTGGCTGAACATCTCGAGTACAAATTCAGGTTATTTTAAAAACGGCCAACCAGAGGAAAGCAGGTCTTTGGGGCAGAATCAGAGCAGAAGCAGAAGCCCCTGCTCTATCTGAAGGCAAACAGGAGCCAGTTCTCTGTTGAGTGCGGGGGTGGGGGTGGGGGTGTCTCTGCGGTCTCCAGATCGAGATTTGATGGGGAGGGAACATGAAAAATGACGAAAGGACCAGGATACAGGAATTACACAGGGAAGAAAGCTCAGATGATGGTTTACAAGAGAGCGAGATAAGTACCTGACCCCAGTACCCAATCAGTTCATCTTCCTACAGTGGCATTCTTTTAGAGGCAAATTTAGAAGGGAGGGTGAGTTCCAAGGCTCCTCTTTGTCATTTCTGCTCCTATACTATGTGTGTCCTACGCAGCCTGCTCCCACTCTTCCCCAAATGAATCTTCCACTTCATCTGAACTCTGTATTTATTTCCACCTCCATGCTTGTGCTCGTGTCATTCCTCCTCCCTGGAATGATCCTGCTCTCTTCCTACCCTGGCCGTCGCTTAGTCATCCTTTAGAACACCACCTGAGTCCCACATCTGTGGAAGCTTCCCCGTCCACTCCAGTTTACATTTACATCTCTCTCTCAGATCTTATAGCCCGTGTTACCTCTACCCTTCGTATTTGCAACTAGTCACAAATGAATGCACACACTTGGGATATTTGGTTACTATTCACATAGGTTTGTCTTGTCTCTTCCAAGGAAAACACAAGTTCCTTGTCAGGAGTCATGTATTTAATCTCTTGATTAACATTAGAGTTCTCTTGAGAGTGGGCAATTCCATTTCATAGCCAACACTGCCATCTAGTGGTGGCAAAGTTGCATGGCTTCTTCTGACTTTTTACTAGCTGGACAAGGCGTTTATAAAGGGAATGTTATAGATTATTTAATGAACCCAAATTATTCCAATTACACTTGCTCATGAAGGGATTTCAAATGCTTATTTTTGTGCTCTGCCGTCCCAGTGCCTTCCCCACCCTCCTGTGGTCCAGAGACCCGCAAACTGCTGGTAGGGGGTCCCTGCATGAGCTCTTGCAAACCACAGCTTCCCTTTCCCGTAGGAAGATCACCAGAAGCTTTCATGGTGATTGTGTGATTTTTAATTCTCTGCTTCCTGTTAAGATAGAGTTTTATGTTCGTAAATATTTATTTTGGAAATAAAATATGTAATTTAGGAAGAAATTTGAGATGATAAATATGATACCCAGAGTAGAAACTCATTTCAAAGCCAAATGGGAGAAAAGCATTGTGGTACAGAGGAACGCCCGTGGACTTCAGCTTCTGACAGACTTGGGATCAAATGCCAGGTCATCTCATTAAAGTCACGTGGTAGTTATGACAGACTAACAAATCCGGGATTCAACTTTCTCATCCCAAACAATGAAGATGACATATGCCTTGCCAGGCTGCTTTGGGGAGGATTAAATAGAATCATGTACCATAACATTCTGGCCCATAGATAATAAACAGTAGCTATTATTATTGTTTACATTTTACTAAAACTGGTTGTCATCATGTTTCCAACTTAATATTTTAGAAAACCAAAATCCTGTTTTTTAAATTTGGGAATATCAACAACTAACTTTGATTCTGAATAAAATTACTTCATCTCTCTTGGTTTCAGATGCTTAAGCTGTAGAATAATGAGTTTGGGTAAACTACGTTAAATCTCTGAAAATAAAATAGGAACTCTAATCTACCACAGACATCAAAATTTGATTAGTAATAAAGGGTTTAGACGAACTAGACCAGACTGAAATTATCTTTATAAAGACAACTTGAAAAATGACCTCTTTAACTCAAGTTATAAATTGTGAAGATAACCTGGATTTGTGGAGGGAGAAAAAAGTGCTAGGAATAAATACATAAACAAATTTGTCACAAGAAAATACTGTGAAGTACTGATTTGCGTGGCCCCCCTGTGGTCAGAATGAGAATCATAATCACCTTTTCAAAATGTGTCTTTTAGAAAAAGTCTGAGTCTTCTAACTTTTATCTGAACCCTAAGATAAAGCGAGAACTTGTTTCAGAAGTTTACATTTTTTTGCTTATTATTTGGAACTTTGCAAACTTTTTTCTATATAAGGAATGTTATATATGGTGGTTTATTTCCCAGTCGATCCCGCAAATTAATGTCTCATTTAGGCCTTGACTATATAACCCCACAAGTAGTACAAGCCCCAGCAGCAACCATTGTCAGTGATGTTTCTTTGGGAATGTCAAAGAACAATAGAATTTCTGGGCTGGAAGAAATTGAATGGCATTCTGGTAAAGTTCTGACCAATGGTCTCCAAACCTGGCCACACATCTCAGAACCAAGGGAGCTTTTAGGAAATGCATACTTCTGGGCCTTATGCCAGAGATTCTGATTCAGGTAGAACTGAGATACAGTTCTAGATTTTGTATTTTAAAAGCTCCTCAGGAGAAGTAAAAGTAGCTAGGGAATCCCTGAGCTATAGGATCCTTTTTAGCAACAAAATTCTGCACCTATATTCAATAACTTCCCCTTTTTTGCAGGCAGGGGGGATTTGTCTTATATTGTTTATATAACTTTGTTTGAAACTTTATTATTTTTTCTCAATCTAATATAAATAGAGTTGGCTTATTTTAACCAGAGAAGAATAACAGGTACTGATTTGCTCATAAGAAAGTCATAATGAAAGTTTCCTTAGCTGGACAAAGAGTTGGGTGACAGAAAAGTAAAGAGGAAAAATGCTTAAAGTGACCATGTAGCACTAAGGGCAGAAAATAACAGTGATGAAGGCATCCATTCATTCTGTGATCGCAGGCTCTGGCTTAACATGTAATATTTCTTTGAAGCCTCAGGATAGCCTTATGAAGGAGGAAATATTATACATATCTTAATCTGGGTGCCAGAAAAGTTAAGTCACACAGAAATGGTAAAGCAAGATTCACACTCATCTCTCTAACTTTAAGGCACAGGATCTCAGAGATGTCAGTGTCTGATGTGCCTTCCAGGAAATTCCACCAGAGGCCACAAATAAAGGAGGGGAAGTGGATAGTAACTAGAGGGTCAAGGAAGCAGTATTTTATACTTTGTAACACCTCCCAGGTGGCAACATTTCAGTGGTCTGCCCTCATTGTTGTGCCCCAGCTGCCTCTGCCCCACCTGCAGACCTCCCTTTCTGCAGTTGTCACTGTGAAGGCAACACTCTTATTAATGACCGCAAATGTTGCCACTCTGTATCATTTACTGTGTGCTGTCACAGCTATCTCATTTACTATCCTCAAAAAACAGTATTCAACAAAGGCAGAAGCCAAGATTAAAGTGACTTGTCTAAAGCAGGGTTTCCAAACCTAAGTATTGTTGGACTGGATTATTTTTGTTGCAGGGCTGTGTCCTGTGCATTGCCCAATGTTTAGCAACATTCGTGGATACTAGCCATTAGATGCACCACCTCTCCCAACTGTAACCACCAAAAATGTCTCCAGACATTGTCAAATGTCCTCTGGGGGACAAAAGCACCCCTAGTTCAGAACCACTGGCCTAAAGTGATGCAGCGAACAGGTAGAAGATACTCTCTGACCCATAGCTTCTGGCTACAAATGAATGCAAGTTCCATTGCATCCCTGAAGCCTCCCTGGAATCATGAAATTTTGGAACCCAAAGCTTTTAGTGATGTCCAGGAAATTATTTTGCTGATGAGCAAGCCAAAGCACAGAGAAGTGACGTGACTATCACAATTTTATGTCTGAAAGCCATTTGAAAATAATTTTTAGCATTCCTAAGAGACTTGTGAAGAGTCACCTTACTGATATGCCTCATACGCTGAGGGCACCTCTTGTCCTGTAGCCACATCTGTTAGCCGTCGTATCTCTCACAAGAGAGTGCTTCTGTCATACCAGTCTTTGGATCATGAATCTCCTTCACCCTCCACTGCAAACTCTCCACAGGGTCTAGCAGTGCTGACTGAGTTATCAAATTACAACAGTGAGTTAATGGCATTGATTCCTGTGGATGATCTTCCTTAAATCAAGGCTTGTAGACACAAGGGTGTTATAACAATGGAGAAGCCAAGTTCATTCGCAGAGAGAGAAAATTTCACTGGAACAGCAGACTCGTCCAAGAGATGTTGTCAGGTCCCCCACTGTCATTGCCTGGCTCACAGAATGCCTATGGCTGAAGCTTATCTAGCCTCTCCCTTTCCCCATAATCATTTTTGTCCCTTTGATAAGATCAAGGAAAGGATTTGTTCTTATCATTTTAACGTCCAATTAGCCTTTACCAGACTTGGAGCAACTTGAAGGCAAAGACTGTCCTTGGTTTATTCTCTGCTACGTCCTCAGTAACTAACACAAACTAGGTGGCCAATAAATAGTTATTAGACAACTTAAAAAGAAAAATCAGGGCTTCCTGATTTCATGATCCCAGTGTCCACCAAGCAATTTGCTTCTCTGGTCAACTTTCAAAATTCTGCCTCTTTGTCCTTACCCGGGAGAACCTACAGGAGTGATCATCCTCATCTGGTGAGCACCTTGGGGTTTCCAAGCACGAGTGCTCTGGCCTACCAGAGTTCCACATCTTCAGGTAGGTGAGACTTGGAAAAGACAATTCTAATCCTTGAGTCTGTCTGTACCTGAAGCCAGCAAACCCCTAAGACTTTGTTTTCTGATTAAGCTATTTGGCATTGGATTTGTCACTTGTAACCTAAAGAGTCCTAACTAATACACTCCCCTCAGGGATATTCAACTGTGTTGTTGTTGGTTTTTAATGCATAAAATTGGAAACATAAACCAGGTGGGTAACCTTGTTCAGACTACCAGTGCTGAAACAACTCATGCTATACCACTGCTACCCTTCATGTTGAGGCCTTTCAGTCACCCTCCTAAGTTTCTGTGGTACTAGAAGCCAGACTTCCAAGGAACATAAGATCTATCATAAGTGTTCCAGGAAGGTAAAAGGAAAACCACCTTTCTGACTGGATGGGGACATTTGGAAAATGGGGGAATGCTGTGCTCAAAGGCCTCCTTCTATGCTTTCTCTGACTCCTCCTTCCTGTCCCTTTTGTCTACATTCTGATCCCTTCTACTCCACAGCTGGGCCCTTTACCCAGTTCCACTTTTTTCAGAGGTTCTTTGGACAGCTTTAGCTCTGTGTGGGAGAGGTTTCCTTTCATCCAGAAACCAATGGAATCTTAGCTCACCCCTTGCCTCCGTGCCCATGGTGGCAACTGTTGAGATGCGCACTTCCTCAGGTTTACAGCTTTCTCAGGTCTCCTCTGTCCTTAACTCGTGATGTTCAAGTCTTTGCTGTTCCAAGGAAAAAACTAATTATTACTTCTGTTTGGCCACACAGAATTTCAGAACAGATGAACCTGGATGCCAAATGTTGCTATAGAATTTAATGTTTTTCGTGCTTTAAATGAAAAATGTCATTATAATAGTTATGGTATTAGGAGTGTAAAGCTATTGTTTTAAAAAGTGCCCTTTAACTCCTTGAGAAATGATAGAACATTAACACATTACCTCAGAATGGTGCTGGTATATAGGAAACCACCCACCCACACATGCTTTATAGCAATAGCACAAGAACTTCCTCTGTATTAATCATGTATTTATTTTCTGTATTTTTCTGATGCTTTGACATCTTAGGGCCTTGCTGACCCTGGAGGGTCTGCCCTTCCTAGGATTAGCTAATTCCTAGAGTTGGCAAATATCTGGAGTGCTCCTTTCACATGTAAACAGAGTGAAATCTGAGGCCATACCCTCAACCATCTGCTTTATTAAGCTATCACATGCTGAGCAAGCCACTATCTCCCTGCTTTAATCACCCCAAGGTCAGGTACCAGACAACTAGAAACAGCCCCTACACCCCAGAGTCCACTGAAATTATTCAAACTAACCAATTCTGAGTCTGCTTATCCTGCTTTTCCTTGCTTTTCCCACAGAAACCACAAAAAGGGCTCTTGCACATAGTTTCCCCTACTTCCTGGCCAACCCTGGCGCCTCCCCATGTGGCCTTGCATGGAGTGGCACTGCATGGAGTGGCATGCCTACTGTTTCCAGGGATCTGTGAGTATAAACTTCTTCCTTCATGACAGTCATTTCCATGTCTGTGTGTCTTACCGCAACTGATTAAACAAATCCTGGGTACCTTTTAAAACACTCCCCAATCCTACTAACTATTTACCAAGATAGCTTCTGTTAGTAAATATGTTATTAATCTTTTTTGACAATATTCATAGGTTTCCTTGAGAAACATTTTTCTTTTTAAGTAAGACTTCAAGAGAGAGGAAAATTCAACTCCACTGAGGCTATTTTGGAATGAATCACTTCTGTGTTCTTTAATAAAAACTTAGTAATGATCAAAGTCCATTAAGTTGAATTAGTGGTCTACAAAAGTCTCTATAATCTGTTTTTGATATCAATAATATACTGCGAGTCATCTAAGGAAAAGTAATTTTTCCTTTTGTGAATGAGAAATGATTTCAGAAACCTTTATAAAGCTCAAAGGGAAAGTCTTTGCTTCTAACAACTTGCCCAATGGTTCATTTAGATTCAGTGGTTTAATCTTGTAATTTATTTACAGAAGGAGCTATTAACAAGCAAGTGGCCCCCACATGTGACTAGCTGGAGCTTCTTTGCCTGATGGAAATTAATCTTGTGGCCAATTATACCTTTTCTTTTAATTGATGTTTAAATGAGAATGGAGTTGATGGCCTGTTGGTGGACAAAATACATTTATGAATGCCTGGCTGCCTGGCTGGGAGATTTTACACATGCGAGCTACATTAGTGTACTCTTTTGTAATTTATATTATGAAATAAAAACATTATTGTCCCAGAGAAGTTATTTTTCCTCCATTTAGAAGAAGAACTTTAAAAATTCTGTAAATAAAAACAACCAGGGATAGAGCCAGAGTGCCCATTACTTTATGCAATGTATCTCAAACTCTAATTTGAATAAAATCACTTGTAGAGCTTGTTAAAAATGTGTGTTCATGGACCACATTCAAAAGTCTGAGGAGAGGCTCAAGAATCTGCATTTTTATCAAGCACTCTATCCTGACACGGGATTCCAAGAATCACAATTTAATAAACACAGAGAAACCACTGGCCTGCTTTACCTGCTTCTCAAGACTCAGTGTTGAGCCATGTGTGCAGTCAGCTGTCATGTTTTGGGTCCTAAAGTATCTCCCAGTAGCAGCTTCTCTCTAAACATTGGGCCGATAATGTAAATTTCATGCATATATTATGTAAACATTCATAGATAGAGCTATAGATCTAGATATCTAGATATAGATATATTGTTAATATCCCCTCATTAGGGATCCAGGCATAAAAAGGAAATAACTCCAGCTCAGTTACTTATTGACTGTCCAAGTCAGGGCAAGTTAAACACTCTGAGTCTCAGTCTCCTCATCTTTAAAATGGGAT